GTTGAACTTTTTCTTTCTTAATTTAGATGCTACTTTTATATCACAGGTAATAACCCTCTGTCTATAATACGTTTTCCTGGCTTGTTATAATTTACTTATGGTACTTTTGCCATGAAAACTTTTTTTCATGTAATCAGATTTGTTGATCTTTTCTCTCATTGCCTCCGGCTTTTAAGCTCCAGGAAAGTTTTCTCATTGCAAAAGTTACAGAGGAATTCTTCTAGCAGCTGGAGGGTTTGATTCTTCATATTTAAATCTCTGATCCATTTGGAACTAATCTCAATGTACCATGTGAAGAAGGGATCTAATTTTATCTTTTTCCACATGGCCATCCAGGTATCCTTAAATCCTCTATTGAAACGTGGATTTTTCTCCTATTGACCTGAGATACCTCGTTCATTAGAAGCTAAGTCTCACATGCAAATGGATCTTTTTTTACATTTTCTAGTCTGTTGCTTGGTCTGTGTGTCTATTTCTGGGTCTGATTCAGTGAGAGGGTTTTATAATATTTTCCTGTTTTCCCTGTTGTTCTTTTTCAGGGGCTTCCTGGATATTCTTGGTTCTATGTTCTACAGAATAAATAAACTATTCTTTTTATAGTTTTTAGGGTCATATACTTTACAATCAATTTAACTTTCATGACAGTTCCCTGGTGGTTCAGCAGTAAAGAATCCTTCTGCGATGCAGGAGAAGCAAGAGATGTGGGTTCAGTCCCTGGGTCAGGAAGATCCCCTGGAGAAGGAAATGCAACCCACTCCAGTATTCTCGCCTGGGGAATTTTTGCCGGATAGAGGAGTCCGGCAGGCTACTGTCTATGGGGTCACAAGGGTTGGACAGGACTTAGCAACTAAACCACCACCACCACCAAGCTTTATGAGATTATCAAGATCCCTGGCAAAGTAGCCAGTTTCAACACCCAGTACCTACATGCCTCTCAGAGGAAATGAAGCTGGGGGGGTGGGGTGTGAGCATTTGCTCAAGAGAGTGAATCATCCAGAGAGATTGAGACTCCACTCGGGGAAGTTGGAGGGCGTCCTTTCCTGAACTTTCCAGAAGGCGCGATCTCACATTTGGTCACGGAGGAATGAAGAGGATGTGTTTTCACTACATTTCAGCACAGGGGGGCAAGTCAATTTTGTTGCAACGACTCTTCCTCTTGGTTTTCTTGCTTCTCTTAGTAGCATAACCGTCCTCTTCTCTTCTAGATGGGAGTCTCTGGCTGGCTTTGCCCCGCTCCTTCCCACGCACCATCTCACGGGCCGTCCAGGCCTGCCGGTTCCACCTTCACGGTGTCTTCACATTTTCCAGGATAACAGATGGGGAGGGCCTCAAGGCTCTAACCACGGGCACCCGGCTGTCATTTTCAAAAGACACACATTCTTTCCAGAGCCAGGTCACTGCATATACACACACACACACACACACACACACACACACACACACACACATTTCTAGCCAATTAATTTTAACCAATTAACTTTAAGGAGCAAAGGATACTACCCTCCTTGCGGTCTCCTCTGCCCACTGTACAGCATAAATGCTGCTGTGGTTCGTTGTGTGAATTTAGAAGAAAGCCGTGTGCCTTCTCCAGACTGGGTCTGGTCACAATAGAAAATGCGTTTTCTGTGGGCTGCAGACAGATCTGTTTTTAATAAACATCTACATGCATATTCAGAGATTAAAAACTAGTGTGTTTTATCTTAAAACCAGCGTGTTTTATCTAGGAACATTTTTAGAATTGAAAAAATGCGCTCAGATTCTACACCCCGTGTGTGGCAAGAGTAACAAGCTCCAAAAGACTTGTATGTGCTGTCTTCGTCACAATAGCCCGAACTGCCAACAACCCAAAGGCCCACCAGTGAGAGAGTACATCCCTCCGGTGGAATTCTCTGTGGTAATGAAGAGATCAGACTAGGGCCAAACACATCCATATGGATGATATGCAGGCTTGAACGTGGACCAAAGAAGCAGATTTTAAAAAAAAAAGAAGAAAAACAAGAAGAGTATATAGGCATAATTATCATTTTTATGAAGTTCAAGACAGGTAAAGCCACGCATGGTGATAAAATCAGAATAGCCCCTGTGGGAGTGGGTGTGATATGGGACAGCGCAGGAGGAACCTTCAGAGGCTTGAAGATGATCCGTATCTTCATCTGGGAGATGGTCACCTGAGTGTGCAGCTGTGCAAAGACTGACTGAGTTGTGTCTTTAGTACTTACACACTTCCCTTGATGTATGTTACACTTTAACTTAAAAAAAAAAAAGTCTCAGAGGACCCTCCCTCCTGAATCCTCCAGGACAGCAAACTTCTCTAAGATACCCTGAGCCCCCGAGTATCTGCCCGTGTATAGAACAGGTAACTAATGAGAACCTACGCCACGGCACGTGGAACTCTCCTCGGAGCTCTGTAGGGACCTAAACGGGGAGGAAATCCAAAAAAAGAGGGGATGTGTGCAAATATACAGCTGACTTGCTTTGCTGTAACCAGAAACTAACACAACGTTGTGAAGCAGCCATGCTCTAATTAAAACATATTTTTAAAAAACAAGAAAAGCCATGTCCTTCATCAGCCAGGAGACTCGGACCTGTGTGTTCTATGTAACGGCGCCCCCTGCAGCACAAGCTAGACCCGCGTCTTAATTCCGGGTGAAACGGCATTTCTCAGCCTATTTCCCACCTGAGTGAGAACAACCTGGCTCAATTCTTGGATCAGAAATTAGAACGTGGTGGGGTGATGCAGGCCCTCCTGTCAGGAAGACGGGAGTCCTCGTGGCAAAGCGTACATCCGGTTTCTCAGTTTCTGAGGGTGGGAGTCACCCTCTGATTCTTGTTTTATTTTATCCTTCGTGCCTTCAGCACTGGCTCCCCTGAACAGAGTAGGGAATCAGAATGAACGAACGATGCGTGGTGGATGGACAGATGGATGAAACCTTACGTCTCTAGTAAGACAGCTTAAGAATCCTTTCCAGGACTTCCCTGCAGCCCAGTGGTTAAGACTCTGCGCTTCCAACCCAGGGGGCACGGGTTTGATCCCTGGTGAGGGAACTAAGAACCCACATGCCGCCTGGCACAACAACAAAAAAAGAAAAACAAAAATGATCCTTCCTAAATGCGTGTTTTCTCTGTGGTGAGTCCTCCTCAGGGCTTCGTGATTAGAAGAAGCCTCTCTCATCCTCTCTGCCCCATGTCTCTTGTGTCTGTGATGAAATATAATTACATCTAAGTGGTATTTTTCTCAGGGTTCCTCTTGGTTGAAATATGCCCTGTTCTCATGGTTTGTGTCCCATGATGAAATTTTTCCAGTGATAAGAGCTGGCTTTTAATCTCACATTTTCTTCTTATGGGAATTGGCAACATTAAGAATCAAGTTAGTTTGAAAATTTATATATATATATATATATATGTGTGTGTGTGTATATATATATATATATATATATATAAAATACATAGATATATAGACAGATAGATAGATATTTGGGTTTTTCACCAAAGGCTTCATATGTAAAGCCTTTCTACCTGAGAAGAGTGAATTTCTCTTTAGAGCCAGTCTTCCCCTACCCCCCAGCCTGGGAGCCTAGAAAATAAAGGTCCCTCCACCCAAGGGAAGGGAGTGGGATGACTGAGAACTGCTTCCAAGCTGGTGAAAACTCAGCCTACGACCGTGGAAGACAATTGTTTGATTCAAGGCTATTGTGTCTCTAGTGTTTGTTAGAACTGAAATGGTTTGTTTGTGTTTTTTAATTTATCTTATTGAAGTATATTTGATCTGCAATGTTGCATTAAGTTCTGCTGTTCAGTTCCATTCAGTTCAGTCATTCAGTCATGTCCGACTCTTTGCGACCCCATGGACTGCAGCACGCCAGGCCTCCCTGTCCATCACCAACTCCCAGAGTTTACTCAAACTCATGCCCATTGAGTCGGTGATGCCATCCATTTTTCTACTGTATAGCAAAGTAACTCTGTTGTGAGAGTTGGACTATAAAGAAAGCTGAGTGCCAAAGAATTGATGCTTTTGAGCTGTGGTGTTGGAGAAGACTCTTGAGAGTCCCTTGGACTGCAAGGCAATCCTACCAGTCCATCCTAAAGGAGATAAGTCCTGGGTGTTCATTGGAAGGACTGATGCTGAAGCTGAAACTCCAATACTTTGGCCACCTCCTGCGAAGAGTTGACTCATTGGAAAAGACCCTGATGCTGGGAGGGATCGGGGGCGGGAGGAGAAGGGGACGACAGAGGATGAGATGGCTGGATGGCATCACCGACTCGATGGACGTGAGTATGAGTAAACTCCGGGAGTTGGTGATGGACACGGAGGCCTGGCGTGCTGCGATTCATGGGGTCGCAAAGAGTCAGACACGACTGAGCGACTGAACTGAACTGAACTGAACTGATCCTTCACCCTCCAGAGAACTGAACTCCTACTGCGTGTTGGATCAGAAGCAGAACCTGCCCTCAGCCCGTTGACATTTGGGGCAGGACGAGTCTTTGTTGTAGGTTTCCCTGTGCCCTGTAGGTGTTTTGTAGCATCCCTGGTTTCTACCTGTCGGAAGTCCCATTGTGACAACTAAGATGGCCCCCAGTTGACAAGCACTGGGTTAAACTGACCAGAGGTGAGGGCCTATACTCAAAACCCAAGAACTGGCTCCCACTTGCCTCTGCCCCAAACTTCCAACACCCCCTACTGATAAGCCACTGGGAAGGGATCAGTGAGAGGTGGACCCCACGACTCTGTGACAGCCACAGGGCGGGGTGGGGTAGAGGGGGTCAGATACGAGACGGTAACAAAACCAAAACGTTACGACCATGGGTGGTGTCCAGGGCCTGTTCTGCCTGGAGTCAGGCCACAGAGAAGTCACACAGAATTGCAGAGCTGGTGAAATCAAGGAGCGTTTAATCAAGCTTTCTCTATCAAATCTGAGGGCCATAGCATTTCCTTCGTGGTCACTCTGATGTAGAAGGAAGTGAACCTGAAACCTCCCCAGTTAAATATTTCCGGTGATTCACTACATGGGTTCACAGATGACCCACGTGGCTACGGTGCCCAGGTGGGCGGAGAGTCCCCGTGCGTGTGGCTGCAGTGAGTGGACACCCCGGGCTGGGAGGCGGCCCTCCCCGGGGCAGACTGCCCCTGCCGCGGCTGCTCTGTGCCCCGGGATCGTCTTGCCACCACGATTCCATCCAACGGCAAACCCTTTCTGCTTCTCGTCAAGGGCCCTGCCTAGCTCCTCAGCTACGGAGGAGGCACAAGACCAGGTTCATCGTAGCACCTCGGCCCTGGCCACAGTGACCCGGAGCCAAAATCCCTTTATGACATCTTCAGAGTCGGGAGACAAGCCTCCATCCCCCCGGGTTGGGGCTGTTGAAAGGCATGCGTGAGGCTGGGTTACCAGGTGCAATATTGTCCATCACGTGGAGAAATCTGTCTCTGTTCGGGGGGACCAGAGCATCACCTGGGGAGAGGACGTCCTGCTGACTTTGAACCCTCTTCCTGACCTCCACGCTGCCCCAAGTCCTGATCACAGCTTCCCTAGTACACAGAGCCTCCCTTGGCTCCACAAACCCCCAGGACCACTGCAGTAAGTCTCCGCACCTTCTTATTCTAAGCAGGTGTGAGCTGGAGTCTTGTCTGTTGGAACTAAGAAAGGGCTGGCAATTCTAGACTGGAAATGTCATTGAGGACATTTCCATTTCCATTTCCACTGAGGACATTTCCATTTCCTCCATTTCCATTGAGGACGTTTCTTAGGACTCTGTCTCATCACTTTTGCTACCAGTCACAGTTTCTTTTATATATTTATTGAGGGGCTGCTTCCCAGCTGTGGTGCATAGAATTCTCACTGCGGTGACTCCTCCTGTTGCAGAGCACAGGCGCTAGGCTCATGGGCTCAGTAGTGATGGCACCTTGAGGCCTGTGGAATCTTCGCAGACCAGGGATCGAACCCACGTCCGCCGCATTGGCAGGCGGATTCTGAACCACTAGACCACCGGGGAAGTCCATCAGTCACAGTTTCTATCACAGATGAATCTCACAACTGGCTTTCAAGAGGGTGCGTGTGTGCTCACTTGCTAAGTCGTGTCCGACTCATTGTGAGCCAATGAACTGCAGTCTGCCAGGCTCTCCTGTCCATGGGACACTTACAATTAACACCAAATGTTCTATTCTGAACAGTGACAGTTTTTAAACAACGGTCTTCACGTGGTTGACTAAGCCAGAAATCTACCTGCTTCGCTGTCCCCAAACACACACGCCTTCACCTTGTCTGACAGGGCCCGTGCTCTCGGGTAGGGACAGGCTGTCTGTGGCAGGTCACTCTGCTCATCTCCGAGGTGGCTCAGCGGACATGCTGACATGGTGCCCTTCCCCCCCTTACGAGGGCCATTCTGAGGCTGATTAGTCTAAGAGGACAGTCTTTAAAGCATGGAAGGCCGGTCCTGTCGTGGGTTTATCAGCCTGCAGCCACTTGCTAGAGCCTATATTCCATGGACAGTATTACCTTTTTAACACCTATATTAGCATTTAATTAGCAGTCAATAAATATTATATATGCATATAATGATGTCCAGTAGATGGCACATGGAAATCGAGAACTCATTCCCTGATCTTCAAGTTCCAATTATTTGAGTGTTTGTCATGTCATTCTTGGGGCCAAAGAAGCTTGTGTTGTGGAGGGGAGGGGGGATCTCTCTGTGGGCCAGATGCTTCATCTGCTGAGACCCTTTTCCCACTATTGAGGTCTTTGTCTCCAGCCCTTTAGGGACAAAACTCCACATTTCCAGTTTCAATCGTCAGTGGTCAGCTGGATCCTCTGAATATCTCCAAAATCTACAATTTACAAAAAAATAAAACAAAGCATACCGACCACAAAAAAGAAGGATAATCTCTGTTTTCTTTTCTATGAGCCGCCTGTTCGTATCTTTGTTTCCCTGATATGTATGTCTTACCTTTTTGTTTAACACAAAGGAGAGGTAATTCTAAAACCTGTGCCTCTGAACAGCAAGAAATTATAAATTGTTGTCAGCAGTTGCAAAGGAAAAAAAAGTAATACTTTAGCCTCCCATTTTATCCTTTTATAATCCAAAGTACAATTGCTTTGTCATTTTGGAAAAAGGATTGGATGTAGTTTAAGAAGCTCCCAAGGATTCACCCAAACATCCACTGCTTAAAACCTGATTCAGAATTTGCTTTGCCCTGCCTCTTGGCTTAAAAAAGATGCAAGTAGTTTTGAGAGGGACACGGCTTGCTTTGTGAGTAAGACGATCATCCTTTAAGATGGAAGGTTGGACAGAAGTCGCTAAAGAATGCATAGATATGGGAGCAGAATAGCAGAGAAAAAGAAAGATGGGAGAGTGAAGGGAAAGGTAGAGGATGTAAGAATTCTTGTCAAAACATGTCAGAGAGTTTCTGTTTCAAAGTATTGGGTTGACCAGAAAGTTCACACTGGTTTAGTATGAAATTTTTGGCCAACCCAATATGTTTATGCTCTCTCCTGCATTAAGTTCTCACTAAGGATTTTTTTAAATGTCAATCTCTCAAATTTCCTTAATCAAGTATATTAAAAATGCCAAAGCCCCACATGGCTTATCAAAAATTCAGAAAATAACAAGTGTTGGTGAGGATGTGGGGAAATTGGAATGCTTGTGGACTGCAGATGGGAGTGTAAAATGGTTCAGTCATTATGAAAAACAGTATAGAGAATCCTCAAAAAAAGTAAAAATAGAAATACCATATGATCCAGCAGTTTCACTTCCAACTCAAAAGAACTGAAACCAGAGACTCAAAGAGACATTTGCACACTCATGTTTATAGCAGCATGATTCACAAAAGGCAGAAATGATCCAAATGTCCATTGATGGGTGAATTAATAAGCAAAATGTTGTCTATACAGTTAATGGAATATTATTGGGCCTTAAAAAGGAAGGAAATTCTGACACAGGCTGCAACATGGATGGACCTTGAAAAAACAGTGTCAAGTGAAATAGTTCAGTTCAGCTCAGTTCAGTCGCTCAGTTGTGTCTGACTCTGCGACCCCATGGACTGCAGCACGCCAGGCCTCCCTGTCCATCACCAACTCCCGGAGTTTACTCAAACTCATGTCTATTGAATCAACGATGCCATCCAACCATCTCATCCTCTGTCGTCCCCTTCTCCTCCTGCCCTCAATCTCTCCCAGCATCAGGGTCTTTTCAAATGAGTCAGGTCTTCGCATGAGGTGGCCAAAGTATTGGAGTTTCAGCTTCAGCATCAGTCCCTCCAATGAATATTTAGGACTGATTTCCGTTAGGATGGAATGGTTGGATCTCCTTGCAGTCCAAGGGACTCTCAAGAGTCTCTCAACTCTCTAACGCCAGAGTTCAAAATGAGCCAGTCACAAAAAGACAGAGGCAAATAAAGCTCTATCATTCTGCCTCGGAGAGAGAACATAGAATGGTAGTTGCCAAGGCTGGGATGGGGGAGGATGGGGAGTTATAGTTTAATGGGGACAGAGGTTCCATTTTGCAAGGTTAAAAGAGTTCTGGAGACAGGTGGTGGTGATGGCTGCACCATCGTGAACGTACTTAACACAACCAAACTGTACACTTAAAAATGGTCAAGATGGTAAATTTATGTTATGTGTATTTCACCATAATTTTTTTGTTTTAAGTCCACGGCTCAAGAGTCATGTCCCTCTTCTGAAGTCTGGAGCCCCACCTGCCAGATCTCCACACATCACCCTGAATGTAGTGGGTAACACCTGGAACCTTGTTGGAAACTGGGATCTTACGGGAACCATGAGAGATCGGTCCCACCCCAGACCTCCTGAATCAGAAACTCCAGCCCTGGAATTATCATTGTAACACGCTTGTCAGATGACTCTGATGTCCCTCAAATATGAGAACCGCTGCCCCAGGGTGATAGATGTGGGGCATTTGGAAGGGATATGTTTGAGATGTCTTGAAGGTAGAAAGAATATGACTTGGTGTAGAATGGACGTGGGGCAGAGAAGGCAGAGGCTGGATAGATTTGAGTGAATGAATATCTTTTAAAACTATTCTGCTCTTACTTTTTCTTCCTTTTACTAGAGTCAGAAAGAAAAAATAAAAGCATGCTTTCTCAAAGCATCAGGTTGGAGAACAGGAAACAGGCTAGGACGGTTGATGTATAATCTTTAGAAATCCACAGGAGGTAAGCTTTATCCAGATGTGTACTTAGCTGCACACACGGCAATTATGAGGCAGGCAAGCGGCCGAGTCATACATTTGCTTACCAACAGGTCTGGTGACCTCACACACAAGACCCACGCTTACAACACACCACAGAGAGCTCTGAGCAGGACTCGCTTCCCTCCTTTTGTACCATGTCAAACAGGGAGTGATGTAGACCATGACCTGAGACTCAGATGTTGCTGGGGCCAAGGAGTTTCAGTTTTAAAACTGGGAGAGTCCTGGGCAAACCGGGATGGTTGGTCTCCCTACTTACCATCTAGACTCATAGAATTTCACATGCAAAGGGGACCCAGAGTACTTCTGGTCTGTGGATCAACACTATGGCTATGGCTTAGAATCACCTGGAGAGCTTAGAAAAATATCTGATTCCCAGGCCTCTCAGTAAACCAGTTAAAATCTGGTCTAAAATGCCTGGGTGCAACACCAGGCATCAGTGTTTTTGAAAAGCTCCCCAAGGGAACATTGAGAACAACTAACCTAGTCCAGCATCTTCACTCAATAGAGGAGGAATCTGACACCACAACAGATTATTCATCCAAGATCACATGATTAATTAGGGGCAAATGCAGGGTTCCTAAGAGTAGGTCAGGGTTCTGCCCACACACCACAGCCCTTCTGTAGATGATAACTGAAGAGTTACCTGCAATTAACCCTGGCCCAGGGTGATTAACTAGGACCACTCGCCCCCACACTGCTGTCTGAGCCTCAAGAAAGCCATTGCAGAGCGGCCGGCTGTGTGCCCACGACTGAGACCCCACGCTCTCCTTTCTTCCTTCCAACTTTCCTCCCTCCCTGCTGCTCCTGAGGATTTCAGACCCGGTCCCTACCCCTGGCTCAGGGATGCCATCTGCCCTGGTTACAAATTTGGCCTCCACCCCCGACCCTCTTTCCCTTCAGCCCCTGGAGGTCCCTCAGTACATCTGCTGTGGGCATCTGGGTCCACTCGCCTGGGTCCACTCGCCTGGGACCACTCGCCTGGGTCCACTCGCCTGGGTCCACTCGCCTGGGACCACTTGCCTGGGTCCACTCGCCTGGGACCACTCGCCTGGGTCCAGGGCCCACCCGGAGGCACCCCCACCAGGAGGGGCAAGGAAGCTCCTCTGACTACAGAGCTTACTTTGTAGAAAAAGCAGAATCCACAGGATCCTGTTCCCCAGGCCAGGGGGGAGCCTGGCTGTCTGACCACTTGTCCCACAGCTTGAAGCAAGCCCCACTACTGAGGACACAGCACCTAGGAGGAAGTAGCATGCCTCGGCCTGGTGAGAGGCCTTGGAAAATCAGAGACCAGGATTGGCTCAGCTGTTACCCTGACCGGGAGAGAGCCCTGAAAAGTGATGACAACAGTGTAGGCAGCTTGTGTCATTCAAAGAGGACAAAGGGAACCCTCAGACGGGAAACCAAACAAGCAGGTGAGGCATGAGATGAGACGCGTTGAAGGGAACTTCTAGGCCCACGATGGCGCTGCTCCTGGGTGGGGTGCCACCGTAGCGAAGAGAAACAGGTGACTCTCGTGTGCCCTAAAGGCCACTTGACCTGGATTCACAGGGTAAATGCAGTCAGTGAGTCAGTGACCCCACTCACCACCCAACGCTGGGCTTCCCATCCAAATCAGGTTGACCCTGGTGCCCCAGCCAATTGGATATTTTCCATTGTCCCCTTTCTTGTTTTTTATTCTTTATTCTATAAAAGCTCCCTGCCTTCTGCCTTGTTTTTCAGTTTTCCAAAACGAGATCTGTCCACGCAACCCCATAGACTATACAGTCCATGGCATTCTTCAGACCAGAATACTGGAGTGGGTAGCTGTTCCCTTCTCCAGGGGATCTTCCCAACCCAAGGATTGAACCCAGGTCTCCCGCATTACAGGCGGATTCTTTACCAGCTGAGCCACAGGGAAGCCTAAGAATACTAGAGTGGGTAGCCTATCCCTTCTCCAGGGGATCTTCCTGACCCAGGGACCAAACTGGGGTCTCCTGCACTGCAGGCAAATTCTTTACCAACTGAGCTATAAGGGAAGCCCATCCACTACATGAAGGGTCAAATATTTGTATAATCCGAATTGTCTTCTTAAAATGAATTTTTTTAGCAGAAAAACAACGAGAAATCCACCTCCCCCTGCCCGAGCCAAGGGTGTCGCCTCTGGTGTTAGA